CAGGCTGTTTGTCACAGCAAAGGCCAAGACAGAGAAGTGCTGGTGAGGGCTCTGCTCACCAGGCTGGAGGGCCGATGGAGGGGCTGGGTTTCTGTCAGGAGAGGGCAAGGTGTTCTGTTGGGGTAAGGTCATGGTAAGGGTGTTCCAAGAAAGGAATATTTCATCATTTTCTATTATAAAGTCAACAGGCTGTTTTTGTCTTCTTTTTGCAAAACAATCTCATTTAAAGGAGAATCTTGGTTTCCTTTCGAAAAGCAAACGTCCATAGCCCCTGAGATGAAATGAGCTTACCAAAGAACTGGCTGATGCTTCTCCAAGAAAAGGGTGCCTGCAATGACAGCCCTCATGTGTGTGAAGACAGATGCTCGGCAGCTCCTGTGAGCCAGGGGTACAGGAGCTCCTCCCACAGTGTCTTCGCCAAGGTCACTGGGACTGTGCTTAAATCAGAGCTCATTCCTGCGGCTAGTTTCCCAGCCCAGGGTCCTTCTCATCCACTGTAAGACCTGCTTTCAAAGGTCAGGTTTTGCTTCAGGGGCTCTGTCTGTTTATTCTGTGCTCTGGGCTGGTCCTAACAGAACTAAGCAAGTATTCCATGTTTATCTTTTTTTTTTTTGGAGGGGGTGCTGGTTGTTAAGAGCCCTGGGCATCTAAGCAACCAGTTTCCAACTAAGGCATATCCCCAGACCCCAAATTTGTCTTGCACGATGCCACCCCATGGCAAACTTCCTTATGGCGCACTTGTGTGAGCTTTCATACACTCAGTGACTTCATTGATAGTTTGCTGCCTGTTCAGGGAGTTCTTAATAGAGTGTTCACCTGAGTCATAGTCCTTTTGAGAACTTTACATTCTTTCTCATTTATTATTTGAGAATTTCATACATGTATACAATAAATTCTTATCATATCTAGCCTCTGTTCTCCCCTGCAACTCTGTCTTGACCCCCAACATAGTAATCTTTTCACTTCAGGTTGTGTTGTATAGATATAATACACACACACACATCCCACTGAGGCTCTTTAGAAACATCTCATATTTTAACTATCACTCTCTATCCCGTAATCAAGACTCATCTGCCACTTTCACATTATGTCATAACTATGGTCAGTACTTTATAGGGCTAAATTAACTATTGCAGTATGAGTTAGAACCTTAACTAGTTGACTCTGTGTGCTTGAATCTTTAAGAAAATCGGGGAACTGTTATGGTCTGTCTTAGTTTAGGTTTTATTGCTGTGAAGAGACACCATGGCCACAGCAACTCTTATAAAGGAAAATATTTAATTGGGGCTGGCTTACAGTTCAGAGGTTTAGTCCATGAGCATCACGGTGGGAAGCATGGCAGCGTGCAGGCAGACAAGACGCTGGAAAAAGAGCTGAGAATTCTAAATCTTGATCTGCACATTAGGCCTAACTTGAGCATATAAGACCTCAAAGCCCTCCTCCATGATGACACACTTCCTCCAACAAGGCCACTCCTACTCCAACAGGGCCACGCCTCCTAATAGTGCCACTCCTTTTGGGCCAAGCCTTCAAACATGTGAGTTTATGGCGGCCATTCCTATTCACACCACCACATGCTTTAAACAAGAAATGTCCCTCAAGAGCTTACAGATATGCTTGGCCGCTGGATGATGCTGCCACCTTGGGAGGTGTGAGGACTCCTGGAGGCAGTGGGTCATTGAGGACATGCCTTTGAAGGGCGTACGGAAAGCCTGGTTGCCTCCTCTTTCTCTCCCTGATTCCTGTCTATGATGTGGTGAACAGTGAGTATCTTAGTCTACATGAGGACTCACCATGGGCCTAGAAGCAATGGAACCCAGAATTCAGAACAGAAATTCTGTAAACATGAGTCAGAATAAATCCTTCCTCCCCTCCATTTGTTTGAGTCAACGCTTGGTGGACAGCAATGCAGGAAGTAGCACATCACTGCATCCCTCAGTGCATTTTTAAAGAAGGAAACGAAGGTTGTTTACTCTGACAACTTCAGCAAAGGGCAACATTTCAATCAAGTAGGTCTTTGCTGTCCTTCCAATCCTACCTAGGGAGCCACCCACATTCCAAGTCCTGGTGGATTTGATTCTACCTGATTCATGAACGCAGTCTTCATTCTCTAATACTCAGAAACCCGGGAAAGGAGAGGAGTAGGGGGACACCCATCTTTTGACTGGGAAACCCCAGTATTTGTCCACCCTTCTAAGGATGAGGATCATGGCTCTGTCCTGCTCATCTGACTTTCTATGTTAGTGTTGACACTGAGTCTTCGCCCAACATAAAGCACAGGAAACTTCATCCTTCCTTAGCCGAGCCCAGGTCAGAGGCTTTGATTTTTCTTTTGTGTACCAGCCCTCTAATCAAGCCTTTTTTTCACCCACTCGGATGCCCTCTCTCCTACCTCTGATTCTTCACTCTGTGCCATTCTTTGTCTTCACACACAAAGAAAAGGATTTCAGATGTGAAGAAGAAAATGGACGGTAATCATTACAGATGACCCATTAGAAAGAAGCGGCCGTTGGTTTGTTTGCTCATACAAAGGTGTTTTTTCTGCCATGAGCTACTGTAGAGAGTACATTCAGATATAATTTCCCATGATTACCCTTTGATTGGAGATTCTTTCCCCAGCTTCTCCTGGGTATTTGGAGATATAAACAAACTGCCTACAAATATATCCCATCCATCAAACCCTTCTTCCTCTTATATGAAGATTCTGCTTTGCAGGAAAACATTGTCTCCCTGTTAAAATGGCAAGAAAAGAAATTTCACAGTTAAGACAGATCTGGAAAAAAATCTTTGTCCATGAAATTTGTTCTGAGCCACATGCATTTCTTTCCTTGGGCAGAACTAGACAATAGATGAAGAAAAACTCATCTAAAGCAAGCTTAAATGGTTAGATGAGGAGCAGAGGCAGTGAGCTGTCAGCACCATTTGAAACTAGCTGAATGAATGCTTTGAGTAATGCTGAAGAGACAGCAAGCCAGGCTAAATGGAACTGACTGTTATCATGATTTAGGGGTCCTCCTTCTGAAGCCTTGAGTGGGGTGCCGGAGCCCACTCTTGAGCAGCGTGGAGGTGTTTGTAACTATATGGGATTTCTTTCCTGGACCATGATCGACATGTTGTCAAGGAGTCTAAGAATTACCATCCCAAGAGGATCTTCTCGGGGAAAGAGGTTGGATGGAACTCTATCAGCGGGAAAATGTTTATGAGATCAAAGATGTGCACTTAAAGAATTTTTCTTTGAAAGAGACGCAAGGCAGTCCTGTTCACATAGTTAACTGCTAAATTAGAGGGGAAAATTGAAGAATACCGGATAATTAGATTTGAACAATTCCCCAATGTAAAGAAGGAAACATTTTGGTGGCTTAACAAGACAAAAGTACTCTACACAAAGCCCGGCATGAACATTACTATTCAGTAGGCAGCCTTGTCTGAGGTAATGCAGAGACTCGGGCTTCTTGCATCTGGTGATCTTGGACTGTCCTCTGTCAGAATTCCCATATTTAAACAAACCCTTCTTCCTCTTGTATGAGGAAGTCTTCATTCTCTAATACTCAGAAACCCAGAGAAGGAGAGGAGTCAGAGGGGAACACCTACCTTTTTATTGGAAAACCTCAGTATTTGTCATATTTAAACAATAGATAGAGGGTCATGGAGAGAAGATGTCACTTCCACCCATATTCCTTCAGTCAGGATTCAGTCAGGTGGACAATGCTCCAGGAAGGGAGGGTGGGAAATGTAGTCCTTACATGCAGGAGGTTGAATAGCACATTCTACCCTACCTGCTTCAGTGAAGCAACAATACTGCAGAGTGTCTGGAACCGCAGAAAACAAGTTGCTTCAGGAACTGGGAGAAAACCCAAGGTCATGGACAAAGCAGTCCTCAGATCACATGCACAATAAACAGGCTTATATGAATAGCCAGGTGGCCAAGTGGTCAGCTTGTAGCTAGCAGAGACAGGTAAATCTCTAAGTTCTGGGCTAGCCTGGTGTACATTCCAGGCTATCTGGGGCTACATGGTGAGATTCTGTCTCAAAAACCAAACAAAAAGAACTGGAAAGGCATCCAGACAGTGAGATGGTCACAGTCATGTACAACCTATGAGTGAGGCATAAAGGCGGGAAAGACTTTAGAATTAATCATTGGTAGTGGAGCCCTAAACACTGAGCTAGCATTTACAAAAGCTAAGGCTAAGCCAGGGGGAGAAGAGCAAGACCTGGAAAGGTTAAGAAAATAGGAATGAGGTGACAGGGTGGGCATCAAGACAGACTGCGAGATCTTTCATTCAACTTCCTAGAGAAGGTCAGGCTTGGGCCAAAGAAAAAGGCAGAGCCTACCAAAAGGAATTAGATGTGAACAAGAAAGATTATCAGTATGCCAGGGCATGGTGGTACACACCTTTGACCCAGGATTTAGGAGGTAGAGAAAAGCAGATCTCTGTGAGTTTGGGCCAGCCAGGTCTATACAGTGAGCTTCAGGCTAGCCAGGGTGAGATCCTGACTCAAATAAAAACAATAAAAATATATCTGCTTATTTCTTGTTTGTGTGTATTTCACTCTTCTCTCTGTCTGTCTGTCTGTCTGTCTCTCTCACTCTCTGTGTGTTGGTATATATGTATGTGTATGGAGGCTGGAGGGCAACTTTTGGGAGTCGGTTCTACCATGTTTGTCCCAGGGGTCAAACTCATCAGTCAGACTTGGTGGCAAATTATTTTGTGCACTGAGCCATCTCACCAGCCCCCTTCTTAGACACAGGCAAGCGCAAAGCAAAACACTCATTTGTACACATTGTGTCTCTGAGAGGAGTGCACAATCCCTGCTGGAAACACCCCTGTGTTGAAGACGTACCCTGAGCTTCCTGAGAGGCTTGTGGAAGACACACGTCTGCTCCCCATTTCCTGGCCAGGGGCAGTCAGTGCTCATACTGTGATTTCCCTCTGCTCTTCATAACCCAGTCACCACTCCAGAGTTCTGTCATATTCAAGCAATCCAAAACAGTTTCGTTCCTGGCTTGGGTCTGCACAGCATGGTAACATTGTTTCCTTTAGGTAACAAAGGCAGGGACCACCCAGGAAAGCCAATACCTCAGACGCTTAAGATGCCAAGATGCATATATTTATCCACATTTTGATTTATGAATGGAAAGGGTTTTTTTGTTCCCATGCCACAAAGTGTTGTTTAAAAAAAAAAACAAGCACTACCAGTTAATAGCTAATAGCTACGATTTGTAAACAGAAGTATGAAGTAAAAATAACAGATGCAATTCCTTTGGTATACACAAGACTTTGACATTTGCTTGCTCTGTCATGAACCTGTGGGTGCCATCCTTTTCCTCTGTTTGTGGCATCTGCCCTTGCCATCCAAATGTTTTTCCCACTTGCTGTACTCTTGTTTCACCAGTTCATGTTTGCAGCACACCAAAACTGCCAGCCATTTCCAACAACAACCTGTTGTCAAGCTTCTGTTCTTTGACACATTACAACAAAAGGAAGCAAAATTGGAGTTCATGTGTGTCTGTGTTCAAGACCGGCATGAAAAGCTTTTCACTTGCTGCCCATGTAGATCATATACAATAACCGTCAGGAACTCAGCTAGCAGCATGTCAACCACCAAAGCCAGTTGTTCAAAGGCTAGACAAACAGAATTCTGGGATGCTGTTTCCAGTCGAGGTTTCTAGCTCGAATGGTTCCAGCTGACGATACTCAAATGTCACACGGTTGATGTGTTTTCCGCTGGAGACCATGCGCAGCACAGCATTGTCACAGCTAATTTTCATCTGGGCTATAATTAATGGGGAATCAGGGGGAGAATAAATGTTTTCCAATAGGTTAGAGAACAGTCAAACCAGTGCTGTCCACTATGTAAGTCAAACACAGTGAAAAGGTGAGGGATGGACACAGATGGCACCTTGCTCTCACATAGTCAAATTGCTTTCAGTCAAATCATTTTTTAAAAAACTACATAACCAGCTGTAGACTCATGAACTGGACCCAGCCTTTTTCTGCACATACAGGACACATACAGGGTAGAAAGAAGTGAGATTATCTCTTTGGCCTTTGTCCTGTTGTCCTGCCTATAATGCTTAGGTGGCAAAGGGACTCTGCTTCATGCAGGCCCTTCTCAGACACAGCACAGTTTAGGCTGTAGACAGACTCTTGGTGATACGAGACAGCTAGTGATCAGAGGAGGAACTGTAATGTGGGGTGATTGTGTGGACCAGACAATCCCACTTACTCTGTTTTTAGTCTCGACAATGACTACATTTTCCATGTCCATAAAAGCTCACTTGCGCAGAGTGGGTGCTCAAAACAGGCCCTTGTTCTCTTGCAGTGGATCTCAGTCACCCTAACGCTGTGACCCTCATGCTGTGGCGACTCCATAAGAAATTATTTCATTGCTACTTCAAAACTGTAATTTTGCTGCTGTTACGAATCATAATGTAGATCCTGATATGCAGGATATTTGATAGGGGACCCTATGAAAGGGTGATTTGACTCTTGACTCACAGGTCGAGGACCACTGTTCTATTGTTTACCTATTGTTTCTCTATTAAAACCATCCTAGCATGGAATAGCTTTGAGCATTCTCACTTGGCTGACAGCCAATATTTTCGTTATCTGTTCAGGCATCTGACACGTGTTCATGGCTTCTCCTGGCAGGTATGCCTGAGCAGCTTAGCGGAAAGTCTCACTGTTTTCATTTAAAATTACCTTCCATTATTTTCCAGCAACAATTTGATTCCTGACACACATTTTATATTATTCTCTCTGCCATTTTAATTTTCTCAGTCTTCCCCCTCACGTTTTGTCTCTACGGGATATTTATCAATTCTGAGACATGCTACCATTGTGACAACGCCACTGTGTCGCGGTGCCTCACAGACACAATCCCTGCATGCAAATGAGGCAAAATGGCGCCCTGAAGTCACTAAGGTGAAAGTCTATGTGAAAGAATGATGTTCAACCCTGATTTCTTTCAAATGCAAATATGAGAGAACCTAGATTGGCTTCTGCCTGGAAAGCCAAGGTTATCTTTCAAGGCTGTTTTTCTTTCTGGTGTCACTCTGAACAAAATATCTCCTATTTCCTTCAGTTGATTTGCATACTCTTTGTTTTGACATCATTTATAACAAAATTCAATTTAAAGGGCAGGGTCTAGTTCTATGGTTTTGGATGAGACTTAAAGCACATGGGAACAGGGAGAATGAAAGAAGGGAAAGCTGTGTATGCTGGATGCCAGCTCAGTAGTAAAGCCCTCAGCATATGGGTGAGGCTCTTCATCCCTAGCACCACACAAATAAACGAATAAGAAAAAAAGCTAAAGCAAGAAAGAAACTTAAACTACCCAAAATTAACCAAAAAGTTACAATATTTAAGCTTTAAATCCCTTAACATTGGTTTCTGTTATATTTATAATTTAGACAAAGCACGTTTTTTTTAACCTAATTCCTATAATTTAAGTAGAAATAATATGAGTTTGATTATCTCATTTTAAGTCACAAGCATTCTTCACAATCTTATCTTTTCACTACACTTAAATACATGTCCTTAAAGGACTCCAAAGGCTGAGACAGGAAGACCAGAAGTTCAGCCTGGGCTGTGTACTGAGACCCTGTCTCATAAAACAAAACAAAACAAAAAATATTTTCTCAGCTTCATCGAAGTAAGTTTAGACACCTTTAGGAAATCATCTTTGCCTCAATGAGATAAATAAGTGCTTGATTTAGTCCAGCCTCACAGCCGTTTCCATGCCTGGGAATCTAAGGAGGGGACAGAACACAGCAGGACTTCCTGCCTACCTGTGTACATGAATTCTCTTTCAGAGTCATTTTGTTTACGGGTTCAGCATTAGTGTAGGAAGAGAAAATACTGGCGAGGTGACCTTCTTTTAACATCAGGATATAATTGATCAGAAGGGCAGTCTGCTTTGCAACTTTATTATCTAGTTGAGGAAAGATCTGTGGGTGTGGGAGAGAAGAACACTGACAGGGCAGACTGGTCAGTGAAATTTAGCATTGGTGTTCTTTGTCTTTGGTTTTAGTTTGTCTCTTCCCAGATTACCAACGATTCCTGTCGCCTCAAGGACAGGCATGAGGACAGCCTTTATAGAGTTGTTCTATGTAACCTTCCCCCACTATGCACACAATTACTAGTCTGGTCATGAGGTCAGTAGTTCAGACCTCATCCTCACCTTAGCTTGAACACATGGCCATCCTCTTTGGTCCCTGGCAAGGCAAAGCTGGCCCCATTTGGCAGCTACATCCTAAAGCAGCTTTTTATTAATGATGAACACTTGGAGGTTTTAGAATTTGCCTCTGGGTTGCAACGGCCTTTGAGGGGCTGTAGAAGTTGGGGACCTTCAGGAGCTCAGAGACATTCTAGAAGTCTTACTGCTGCTGTGTATGTGGCTGTAATAATTCATTTCCATATATGTATATGTATACACATACATAGTATACACAAATAGATACATGCATATATACCTGTACATATATGTGCACATATGAGTATGTATCAGATACAGGTAGTAAAGTTAGTTAGTTATTTTTTCATTATTATACTGTTACCAATCATTGATACGTTTACTATTTGAACTGTCAGTCAACAAACAAGTTAGTCTCCAGAGGATAAAAGCAGAGATTCTTCCTAAAGTGGAGAAACATTGTCTTCCTCACACTTTTCCTTAAATACACATTTGTGCTGTTCCATAGGTTTCTCTCTTGATGCCTGATACTTAGCTAATGAGTTCTGACACTATAGGCTCTAGAGTAAAATTCTCACATTGGCTTGACATATAAAATAATTTCTTGGTAGAATTTATCTTCTTGTATATGAAAAGTTGAAGTGTCTTATTTAAGGAAATAACCCTGATAGTCACATAAATGACAACTGAAGAACGTCTCACCAGGGCCGTGAAAGGGGTAGCACAGGTCCGCCAAAGGCATCATCTTAGAGGGGTCCAATCCAGTTCCTCCCAGCAGCTCCACGAAGTCGCCAGTTCCACCACAGCCAGCAGCAGGTTTCTAAGAGAATAAAGCAGTGGACAGAGCAAGATGCAGATGAACCTATTACACAGGTCAAGCTGAGCCAAGGACAGGTCAGGGAATGCACACTGTCAGCCTTCAGCTTGCGGCTCTGCCTTGACTGGACATCAGAAACTCCGGAAATTGTTTAAGGTGGAAACAAAAACAACAGCGATGACAACAATAAAAATCCAACATCTCACGAATTAGTTTTCAAAGTCAGTTGATGAGTCATTTTTTAATGTATGTGCACTTTTTAAGGGCTAAATTCAATGACTGGAAAAATGAAACAAGAATATGTAAGCTCAGAATAAGATGTATGATCACAGAACCTGAGGGCGCCTGGATGCATGCCAGTCACTGGGCTAGTGGAATGCAGGCAGAGTGAAGAAAGCTGACACGCCTGGATAGTACAATTATACTCGAATTTGTATATTAAAATTCTGTGTTCTTTCTCAGCTCGCTTCCTTTCCTCTTGCTAAAAAGGGACTATTTCTGTTTCTTCCAGAAATAAGGATTTAGATTACTCCTGGGTATATTTTAAAAGAATAGACATTTAGAAAGAATGGGATTTGGAGCTCAAGTTAGCCAAACTTACCATTTGCTCAAATTCTTTTCATGTTACTAAAAAGAATTTCTTCTAAACCTCTGAAACCTTCACTTCCTGCTTCCCCGAATCCTCCTTCCATGGTTCTCAGCCAGTGATTTCTGTGCCTCCCTCAACACACACAGAGCGTGCATGCCGGTCTCACATGCTGCTCTTGGCCCCTGCTTCGCATGCCCAGGTTAGTCTTGAATTCATGTCGATCCCCCCAAGTGCTGTGGTGACTGGAGTGAGCTGCAAATGCGTATTAAATTCTTAATGAAGTTTTTAATCACGGCTCTACATTTTCATTCTCCACTGTCTCCTGTCACCCATGGAGCTATGTTTGCCTGCGACCCTGTTATTCAGTGAGATCTGGTGTGGCAGGTAGCCAGAAGCTTACCCGCTAAGCCCTGGCACACAGGAGTCAAAATCGACAAGTGTGGACTTTAAATGCCCGTCCACACAGATGTACATACATCAGACATCTAGACGAACACTGAAATATCGCAGCAACTAAAGCTACGACATCGTGTAACGGCAACTGTTTGGCTAAGGAAGGGAGACAATAGGGGCTGCTTATGTTTAAAAAGCCTACTATGTGCATGGCTGTATGCGTAGAAACTTCAAACATAATTTCATTACATGATGAAATAAAGATTTAATTAGGCCCACTGTGCACAAGTTTGTGAACTGAGAGTCAAGTAAGCTATTTAGGAATGAAAGAACATAATTGTGTTTCCCATGAGTAGACAGACAGAAGTTTCCACTTGGTGAGCGATGACATCTCTTTCCTCTTTGTAATCCTCTCAGGTTTTCTTATAAACAGTGGTGGAAACTGAGCTGCATGGGGACTGTCTGGGGTTCTAGGACTCAGCAGCAGCTCCTCTATGTTTTTGCTGAAGTATTAAAAACTTCCTACCATCTTTTGCCAGATTACCACCCTGTGCCAAAGGTGCAATGTGGCTTGTTGAACTGGAAGCCAAGTCTCCACTGCTCCTTATGAACATTATGAATGGAAGTCTCACCTTCCAGTACACAGGAAAGCTGAAGTGCTTACAGAATGATCTTGAGTGGTTCACTAGCAACAACCAGAGTCATCTCACAGAGGCCATAAAAAGGGCAGCATGCCCCAAAGCCCATGCAACAGGTGGAAGCCAGAATGATCTTCAGACAGCACACATCAGGCCGAATCCCACCCAACCCCAGCCGCTTTCCCACTCACCCGCTGGGCACAGCCTCTTTGGGTGGACAGCATGTTCCAGCACTTCCCAGCTCCCTCTCTGCCTTGCTTCCTCCTGTCTCTAGGATCCAGTAAGCCTGTTTCTGCCTGGGCAGCACTGTTCCCTCTGCCCCTCCTCCCTCTTCTGGCTGCTGCTCCTTCTAATCTATCGCTCCAGTCAGACCTTGAGCACCTTCTCAAACGTTTCCTTTCCTGACCACGTTGTCTCAGGTAGTTCTTTCTGTCTACCCACTTTCCACCTCCTGTCTAACAAACTATTGTGCTGTATTTTGTGTACAGGCTCACCGTGATTTGAAATCTGCAATAATGTTGCCTGTGTCATCCCACTAGGAAATAGGCTCCCTGTGAGCAGGACCTGCCTTGTTCATTGCTGATTTTTAGAATCTAGAATAGTCCCTTGTACAAAGGAATTTATTATTGTTGTTGTTGTTTTGTTACTATTATTTGGTAGCACTAGTGAAAGGAAGATTATGTTATGTAATCCAGGCTAGCCTGGCACAAGACGTTCTTCTATCTCAGGCTCCCAGTGCTAAGATTATAAATATAAGCCACCCTACCCAGGTCTCAATATCCAGGCCTCAAAAACAAAGTAGATCTTAAAGGAACTGATGCCTAGAACACAGTAGCTACTAAAATCTTAAGGAGAATACCAAATCTCCCCTTAGTGTTTCAGTACCTGAAACGCAGATCCCCTGCTCCAGCACCATACTTCCCACCTCCTAGACTGACCTCAAGGACAGCCCGGTATGCAAACACTGCCAGGGTGGGCTCAAAGCATGCAGACATTCTTATCAAAGGATCCCTCCTTGCAAGGTCCAACAACAAAGAAGCAGCAGGGACAGAGAGTCTGGGTGATGGAGGAAGTTGGGTATAAATTATTTCTCTCAGTCATGCTTCTTATTTAGTTTTCACAAGGATCTGTGTATTTAGGAATGCTGGCTGCCTCTGATACCACTAAATGCATGTGTTCTCTTAACTCGGGCCTATGAACAATGACAAGGAAATGAGTGTGACTCACAGAGAAGTCACTCTCTATGCAAATGGACTGCACAAGTTGGTAGGAATTTCACAGCTAATTTTTTTAAAGCAAAATGTCATATAACACGCTCTTCAGAACTTTACTGCTTTTGTGATATCAAAATCCAATTCCATATTTTATGCCACTGTTGGCATTCTTTCATAGCAGAGTGCTGTCAATGAGAGAGCCTTCCTTCGTATCAAAAGAAAATTCCAATAATCAGGAAAGCAGCTGTGTCGATGACTCACAGGCAGCTCGGCTAGAAGAGGAGTTTCGTAAAAGAGGAAAGTACAAGAGTGTTCAATTGTAATTACATACTGCAGCTTTACCAACTAAAAGCATTTCCTATGCTACAAGAGAAATACTAGAGTAGTCAGAATGGGCGCCTGAGTGTTTGCCTGCAGCATGACAGAAACAGATGTTGAGGAAGCCACGTCTTTGAGAGCATCATGCTCTCAAAAGCCTGGGGCCTGAACAGTTTCAGCTTCCTGACACATGGAATGCTCTGGCTCTGATAAAAACAAGTGGCCTTACCAACTGGTCAAGGAGCAAGCAAGCCACTAACCTTTACCTGAAGGCCGTGCAATTGTCCCAGGGTGAGGTCAGAGATTTTGATTGCCACTGGGTAAATGATGGAGAAGCTGCAGTTTTGGTGCTGGTGTGGAACCACCAGAGTAAACCTTCCACTCGGGGTCTGGGAGATGACATTGCAAGCTTTAGGAGGAAAAATAAAATTACAGTTACATTATTTGGAGTACTGGGTTTTAAATAGAAATTCATGGTACCTTCATTCTAGATTTCATTTCATGGTCTAGAAGATATGTCCAACCTGGGCCCACTGGCCACATGTGTCCCAGGATAGTTATGAATGGTGCCCAACATATTTGTAGATTACCAGCATCCAAAGGCTGTACCTCTCTGGTTAGGTTTTGCATCCAGGAAGAGGGCATACATCACCATGGCAAGCTGGGAAAAGGAGCTGGGGAATATAGACAGTGCCATGTGAATATTGTCAGGAAGTGCCAGCTACCAGAGGGCTCCTCACCTTTGTCTCTGGGTTACAACAATTCTAAGGTAGGAACTCTTTACCAGTCAAACAGCACAGCTGAGAATAGTTCCAGGAGCATTTCTGTAAAGTTGAGTCTCGGTCCGAGCTGAGAAAACAGGGCTCAACCGTGAAGCCAGAACCTAAACCCGTATGAAATCCTCACCCATAGACTTTAGACCCATGGCGTTAGCTTTTAAATAAGGCCGTGAGTAATTTTATTCTAAAGATGTCTTGATAGTGACAAAAGAAGTTGAGAATAAAACAGACAAAAGAAGTTGAGGATAAAATAATACATATTTGCTGAGTATTGAAAAATGTAACGTTGACTAAATGGTCAATTTTTAAATCTTGGTAGTCTTAAGGTTTTCTGATTTTTTTTTTAATTTCAAGTCTAAACTTACAAATGAGTTCTATCTTGAAACAGAGGAATAAGATTTGCCTTTCTGCTTCCTAGCCTCCTGCCTCCTCCTTATATTTTTAATTACACTTAATTTCAGATGGAGGTGAAATTCCTTGACAATCGTCTGATTTCCCACCAAGCAAACACCTGGAGAAACATATCCTCTCCAATCATTCTCCTTCTCAGACAGCCTCAGCTTTTTAGTTCTCTCTCACTCTCTCTTTCTTCCCTTCCTCTCACTTTCCCTCTCTTCCTCCCCCACTAGTGCTGGAGTTTGAACCAAGTTTTGTGCATCCTCACACAAGCGGTTTACCACCTAACTCTATCCCTAGATGCCAGCTTTTTCTCTGAATGAGGAATTAAGCTTTGACTTTGTAGTTTTACAACATACTTCGTGTGTCTCTCCATCAGAAGTGGACTGCATTAGGAGGGTGGCTTTGTGGTAGAAGATGCTTATCCTGCCTCTGTGGGATGGCTAGGGAGATCCAACTTGGTTGCTGAACTCATTTGCAATGCCTTGTGAGGGCAGAACAAGGATTTGGTGAAAAAATAAAAGTGTACCATGTGTTCGAGAATTATCTAGCCTGGGAAATAAAAGAAAAAACTGCGCTTTAATTTTCGTAACACATTCATAACGGATGAAGAGTTCACCCCATTTCTTGGTTTCACTCTGTGAGGTAGGGGTGATCACCTGCCACTGATCCTGCCTTTTGCTCGAGCTTACTTACGGAAGAGGTTGGGATCTGTCTTTACGGTTAATGTGAATCCATTTCCTGGCTCATGGACCCGGAAGAAGACCATGGCCACGTTCTGGGACGATCTGATGCTCCTTCCAGTAAGACCATTCTCACAGAAATCTGTGTACCGCTTCGTGGTGGGCAGAGGGTAATCCTGAGAACTTGGGAATTTCTCCCCCTTGAGGATCCAACCATCAAACACCTTAAAATGATAACGACAACAATAATAGTACAGGCATAACCGGTCATTTTCACCCGCTCCTGAAATCAGATTTTGTTGGAAAGAAGGGAAAGTTACCCAGCAATGAGTTGTAAGTGAGGAACCCATAGTGCCTGCTCACACCCTGCTTGTTCTTCATTCATGTTTATTTACACTATGCAGATGTAATATTATCAATTAATATCTTTTCTGCATAAGCCTTTAAGTTGCTAAGTTAGCACACCTTTTTATACTTTATCGACTAGTTTGGGAAAAGGAAATTAATTATAGACATCACTGGTTCTTATGCTGTCTTTTCCACATTCAGATGAACTCTCCAGGAGTGCTGTTTGGAGTCTAACTTCAGTTTCTATTTTCCTCCAATCAGTGAAATGTGAACAACAGCAACATATCTCAAAAGAAAGGAGCAACACGACTGGAGATGACGGAGGCTGTTTGTAATCCCAGCAGGCAGAGGCAGGAGAGGGGAGGGGAGCATCGTGAGTGTGCGTGTCAAAATGATGGAGTGAGCGAGGAGGGGAAGAAAGCAGAGAAACAGGCTTCTGTGCCAGTGGCCCACTCTTCACATTAAAAAAAAAAAAGTCACCTCAAGTTATTTATATACATATATATATATATATATATTTAAATATATATTTATATTTAAATATAAATATATTTAAATATTTATATTTAAATATATAAATATTTAAATATATATATATATATATATATATATATATATATATATATTTAAATGGTGCAGTCAGGCAGTGCTGGCTAGCAAGCCATGTAAGCTGGGACAAAGGGTCAAAATCAATTGACACTGCTCTCAAAAATCACCGCAGGTCTCCATTTTAATGAGCCCACCATTGCGAAATCACCAACAACAATAATTGCAAATTATTTCTAGCAAGCTTGACAGGTTCCCAAATGGTTCTACTTTGGAGATCTTAAGCATGACTGTTTTCTTGAGGCAGTAGAACTGCACCCAGCCTCTCTCCACTGACCTGTGTTGCTGTGGAGACTGAAATGGGGATGATGTGAGGGCTGGGTGATTCCCCTCCCTTCTTGCTCTCCGGTCTCAAACTCCATACCCGCTTTCAGCCTCCCTCCCCCAACCCTATCAGTGCCCTACTACTCCAAAACCCTGTCAGCCCTGCTCTGAAGAGCCTCTGCGCTCCTGGAGGAGCAAGGTGGGTCCAGACTTCAGAGGACAAGAGAACTCATCTGCCTTTGTGGTAGACTCGAGCGCTCCTGCTAACTACTTTTTGCCATGTTTTGTCTGCCCCAGATTGCACTACAGCGTCACGCTGCAAGTTCAAGCGCTAGGAAGTTCCCACTTGGGGAGAGTACGGAAGGGAAATTAAACCGCCAGCGTCCAGGGCTCCAGACCTGCAGTGTGAAGCCAGCCCCCTGCTGGGAACCCACCCTCCCGGGCTCCCCCAGTGCTCTTCTGCGAGGCACGCACGTATTGCTTCAGAGTTGACCCCAGGAGTCCAGGCGTGGGACATGCGGGCCGGGGCTGCGTGGAGGGGAGCCCCTCACCTTCAGGAAGTCTCCACCCTGGCAGTCGATGGAAACTAGGTCGTAGTGGATGGTGATGAACTCCTCCGGCTCCCCGATGAAGAAGGCGGCGCAGTGCAGCTGCGGCCGGTCGGCGATGAAGGTGAACTGGCCAGGCAGGCTCAGCATGTCCAGGCACCCTGGGAGAGAGCACGGGGCCGGTCCCCGATTGCAGCGGGAAGCCGCTCTCACCACGCCCCATCCCCCGACTCCGCAGCGCGCCCCAACCTGGAGGTCCCAGCTCAGGCTGTGCTGGATTCCCTCGCTGTGATTTGGAAGGAGCCTTCAAGGAATGCCACAACCGGGAGGTCGCAACCAGCACCCGGCTAGAACCTGTTTCCTAGGTGCAGAGCGCCCGCCCCCCGCCCCCCAGGGCCCACACACTGGAGCAGGACGGCCCCAACTCACGCAGAGCCCGGCGGTACGGCTGCTCCTCAGCCAGGTCCCGCTTCAGATTGGCGCTAAAGAGCAGGAAAGGGTCGTCGTCCAAGGCTTCTTGCACCTGGCAGGGGAAGTGGATAGGTCCGGCAAAGTTCAAGGGGAGGGAAGGAAAGTGAACCAGGAGCAGGCTGCCCTTCTCGCAGCACAGAGAAGCGAATAGCGAGCGAGGGAGTCCATGTCTCCCGTGTGACTTTCACTCTTTGCATCAGATCGAGGTTCCCAGGCCAGAGAAAGGCAGGCAGTTAGGACGCTCAGAGGCAAGGAGAAAGCAAGTCTAGGTGAACCAGGGGGAAAGGATGCAGCAGAAGAAGAATCAAAGCCAGCCTGCTGTCCCTGGCTGAACACGGGAAAGGTGTTTAGGATCAAAGGAGGATGGCTCACCTCTAGGTACCGGCTGTCTCCCCTTAGGGCTGTCAGGAGGAGCAGGATGAAGTGACCCTGGAGTTTGAAGTTCGGTGACATGCTGGCTTTGGCTCTGCAGCTGCCTCGCTCCAGCTGCGGAGATCTCAGCCTTCCCACACCTTCGCGCACACTGAGAGCTGCTAGGGTCCCTTTCCTGGGTCTCTTTTATAGAGCAGGAGAGAGGGGAGGCTCTCTGCCCCTTAACTGATCGGAGCTTAGTTACCATGGGTTACCCTTCCTTGGTGACAAAAGACGTGGCAATGACGAGGGTCCGGCTCTCAGCCACAGGTATTTCAGCGTGGCCCAGCATTATTCACCAAGAATGACTTCAATCACCGGAACCTAGTGTCTGACCTAAACGTATAGGAGAAAGAGGGAAGCAGCAGCAGAGACGGCAGAGGGGCATTTTATTTGGCTTCTCAAACATTGTAGTATACTCATATTATATATATTCAGGGGATTTTTAATTTTTCAAAAGCAACTGACAAAGTTGCACATGCGCGTAAAGTACGCAGACACAAGTGACCTCACCACAGGACCCAGTCATATAACTGTGGATGGGATCCTGCTGGGAACGGCCAGCGTAGTGTCAGCGAACTATCGTGCCTCTCCATGAGAAACAGAAGTATTTTCAGCTTCAAAACTTTGACAGCGCCTGGTTTTACCGAATACTGCAGAAATGAAATTCCAGGCTCCCTCTTCCTTGCTTTGTTCTGCCCCCCCCCCCATTTTTTATCAGCCTCCTCTTAATGAGAAGCAAAGTTCTACAGACGTCTGTAGAAGCAAAGCCCAGACGTGCTAGCTGGGCTTCCCCTGACTTGCATGTTTCAATGGATGGATGCTCCCAGACAGTTCTTTGTAGCCGGAACTTTAGCCTCGCTGGAATCGCTGAGCAGAGCACATCACTCCTCTCTGTGCTTCCAAATACCTGGGTCACTTGGATTCACTGGTGGGGAAAGAGTGCTGAGGCTTCCCCAACTGACACACAGGTCCAGTCAAATGGGGGGGGTGTGGACAGGAGTTATGGGTAAGCTTACTTTGCCAGTTGGCAGAAGACCATGGTTTCTGCTTTCTGTCCAGAGCTGTGGACAATGTTAGAGAAAGACACCCCTCTAGTCTTCCCTAGCCCTGAACCATAGGTGACAAGTACTGCTGGAAAAATGAAACTTGAGACCACAATGTAAGGTTTTAATGGATGAGAATGGTTATATTTGTGATTTGAAAATACTCAGAAGTAACAGGAATCTCCTGATTCATCTATCAGAATTTGATGTTTTCATATTTGAGACAATGCTGAGCTCTGAGGGCTTTTGTCTTAGGATTTTCTTTCTGTCCAGCTCTAATGCTGTAGACGGTCCTTAGAGCAGACAACAGAAGCAAAGAGAGCATGTGTGAGCACTGGCCATCGCACCCTTCTTTCCAGCCTCCACACTGATTAGGCATCTGGATTTCAGATAGGGATCCAGAGCCTTGAGAGGAATGACAGGAAGGGAAGCGGAAAGCTTAACACTACCCAACAGCCTCAGAGGCAGCAGGACCATCTCCCACCTCATCTGCACCTAGATTCTCAGGCACATTTACCTGGCACACCATGACCTACCCTCCTCTCCCATCAGCATAGACCAGACCTTGGCTGACCTAAGGTTCACCCCAACACTCACATCCAGTTTGGCTGCATAGTGAGACCTTGTCTCAAATAAAGAGGAAGTGTCGGGGAGGAAGGAAAGAAGGTAGGATGGGAGGGCAGGAGGAAGGAAGGAAGGAAAGACTATGGAATAAAACTTACCATAGTTAGCCCAAGTCAATAAAAGTATTTTCACTTGAAGCTTGAGCTGGCTGCTATTTATTTTCCTGTGGTAGGAAAATGACTTGAATTCTACTGCTCAGCAGGCAGCTCAGTACAGAACATAGTACAGTTTGTAGGATGGTACTATCCAGCTGATTTCTAGTTTATCCATCCTGAAGATCTGCGGCCTCACTTGTGTAGATGTACAATTCCATCCACCACTTAGCCTCTAGCAACCGTTGCCAGATACTTCATATAAGTTGAAACCTCAGTTCTCAAGAGGGTTGGGAATTGCAGTGTTCCCAACACATGGAAAGTCCTGGCCAGGCAGTGGTGGCACAGGCCTTTAAATCCAGCACTTGGGAGGAAGAGGCAAGTGAATCTCTGTGAGTTCAAGGCCAGCCTGGTCTATACTGAGTGAGTTCCAGGACAATAAGGCCTGTGTAGAGAGATCCTATCTCAAAAACAAAAATAACAAACAAACAACAACAAAAACCCACCTGAATCCTGCCCTATTTGTCATCTATTGCTGGTTTATTTCATTTGAGGTCCATCTAGATGTAGTATGCTACGGGATTCCCCTCTTTTTTTGATAATAGCCATCTCAGTAGACAGCGGGTGTGAAGTGATGGCTCACTGTGTTTTTTATTTGTTTTTCCTTGCTTATTTGGTGATGTTGCTCATCTTTTTGTATAATTATCAGTCACTGATGTGCATTCTTTGGAGAAATGTCTCTTCAAATTCCAAGCCTGAGCTAAGTGTGCACATCTTTAATCCCAGCCCTGGGGAGGCAGAAGCAGTTGACCTCTGAGTTCGAGGCCAGCCTGGTCTACAGAGTGAGTTCAAGAACAGCCAAGGCATAAGAGAAGTCCTGTCTCAAAAAAAATAACAACAAAATCTGGAGTCTAATGGATAGTAAAGTGATTAGGTTTTGGTTTTATTGTGCCTTATAGAATTCCTCATATTTTATGGGAATTAATGAATCATCAGAAGAATGGTTGTAAGTATTTTCTGGCATCCAGGGGTTTACCTTTACACCATTGATTGATTCCTTTGCTCTGCAGAAGCTTTTTAATTTGATTTGTCACCTATGGTATATTTTTGCTTTTGTGACCTGTGTCTTTGTTGTCTCAGCTATGAAATCATTGTAAAGATCAATATTGTAAATCTTTTTCCCATTTTTCTGGTAGTATTGTAGTTTAACATCTTTCCTGTAAGTTATTAACCCGTTTTGAGTTTACTTTTGTAAATGATGTAACATAAGGTTTTAAGTTCACACATGGATACTTAGTCTTCCTGCATTGCCAATGTGATACGTCCTGTCCCCATTGGTTATTGCCAGTGCGATGCGTCCTTTCCCCATTGGTTATTCTTGGCATCTTTGTGCCAGGTGAGTTCACCTGAATATAGGAATCTGTTCCTGGACATGTTGTTCTTCTCAGCGGGCCTTTTAGCTCTCCTTATGCCAGTACTGAAATTGACAACTGAAGCTTAGAATTCTGAAGTCAATAAGTCTGATGCCTCCTGGTTTTTTGTTTTTTTCTCAAGGTTTTGAGGATTTTTGTTGTTGTTTTTGAGGTTTTATATTAATTTTAGAGTTTTTGTATTTTCATATAAAATAGATATTATTATTTTCATGTGACTATTTATAGTTATTAATATTAATTTTCAGAGGCATTTGAGATCAGAAAGGAACTAAGCGGATCTCATTTGGGAAACCAGTGTGAGTCAGACTTTGAATGACACCCTCATGTTTCAGCTGCTTCCAACCCCCGTGAAGAGCTACAGTCAAGAGAAGCTAAAACTTTGATGGGGGCTGAGCAAGTGTTTGCTGAGAAACTACCCAGAGTATAATCAGCATGTCAGTATAATCTATTTTCAAGATATGAGGATGTCTTTAGAATTCATGGAAAAGGGAAAAAAACTGAAAAACTGAAAGCAGGTACTGGAAAGCCACTCCCCAGTCTCTTCTGTAGGCTGCCGTTCCCAGTCTGTGGTTACTGGGGCTTCACACAGCCCCCAGCAATTCCATGTCACCATAAGACAGATGAAAACACCTCAAACTTATGTTCTCAAAATCTTCACCCACAAACTTGTGGGAGAAGGTCAGAGGCCAGGGCAGGAAACTGTCATAACAAAGCTGTTCCCTTGAGAAAAAAGGGACTGCTTTCCAGAAACTTGGAAGTTGTAGGTACCTGGCAGAAAATTGCTGCTTTCAAAGTATAGCCATTTCTAAGATAGTTTATCTTTCATTTACAGCAGAAAACATTAGAGTTGAGCTACAATATCCATGCATTTGTGTCATATACTAGAGAGTGCTGTGCTGTTTCTGGATAACATTTCACACAAGAGCAAACAAAACAAAACCCACATGAGTTCAACAAGCTTTTTGATCATAAACTTTCTTATCTGTGAAAAGGTAGTATACTCTAGAAATTACTGTAGGCATCAAATAGTGTCAGGAATACAGACAGCCTAGATGTAAATGGTAGCTGTTATTAAATTACCAGTCCTATTCTACATCTTCATCAGCAGGTTTTACCTCTAATGATAATAGTTTTATAAGAGGCATGCATGGGATGTATTTTCATAGCATTACTAAATTAGAGTGAATGACTTCATCTTAGAACATTAGCTGACTTTGAAAGCCATAGCTAGAAAACGAGAGGACTAGATTAGAATCTAATTGCAGCACTGCATTTCAAAAGATTAACCAGAAATGGGTCCCATTAAAGCTTATGTGTATAGTAGAGGGGAGCTGCTCTCATCAAGGAGAAAAGATGAGATGCAGAGTGGAATAAAATCGAGAAGATAAAGGAGTGAGAAAACTGAAGTCACAAAGCAGAAAAAGGAGAGAATCAGGACCTGCCCAAAGGAGGAAGCACCGTGAAAGCCCATACCCCAGAACCTCCCTGTTGAATACATCCTGCACTCCCCGCTCAGGAGCCAGAGAAACGACTACTGCCCTTTTGAGCCACTGAGGTTTGGAGAGACCTGTTACTCAAAAAAGAGCCAATAAGGATTCTTCTACTTCCCATCCACATTCCTGGGCTTTGTCCTGGGGATCTCCAGCTTTATAGCTTCTGTCTGTAAAACCCTTTACTCAGTCACCATCTGTGTCCATGCATGGCCTTGTTCCCAGACAGCTACTTCCAGATCGAGTCAACATCTGTAAAAACAAGATGCCAGTGACGAGCTGGGCTTGTGGGAGAAGAGAATGTGACTAAAAAACAGATGCCAGAAGCCTCTAGCCCTGTGACCAGCTAGTGCTCACCAGCCGGTGCCAGCACTCTGAAGTGGTAGGAGCATTCTTCCCTTTTCATGCTGACGTTTATAAGTTCCTGACTGGCACCACCATGTGTACCTCCTCTGTGGTACCTGGGGAAGGAAGGCCACCTCATGTCGAGGAATCA